CTGCCATCTGCAGTCCGTTCGTTCCTCCTGAACCTGTGAGGGGTGTGTCATCCTCTCTGGAAGGGGGGGGGGACCGGGGGACTGCAGCATCAGCGAGGCATCACACTGCTCAGTATCCAGGCAAGGTTCTTGCCCACTATTCCTTCTGAGAACGTATCAGAGACCATCTACTGAGGCACCAGAGACTGGAGCAATCCGGATTGCACTCCTGGTAAGTCCACAATTAGACCGTATCCTCGCGCTTCGAGTCATTGTAGAGCGCCGTCGTGAATTCGGGCGTGGGCTGCTTTGCCAGCCTACATCGACCTCAAGAAGGCGTTCGATACGGTGCATCGGAGTCACTTTGGGAGATCCTGAGCTGAGAGAATACCAACAAAGGATTATTGGGACTAACTAGCAAGCCTGTATACTGGTACTGAAAGTGCTGTAAAGTGTGGGGGGCCTGTCGGCTTCTTTCCTGTTAGTTCAGGAGTGAGGCAAGGCTGTGTCCTTGCACCACTCTTTCAACACTTGATGGACTGGATACTGGGCAGAGCTACTGTTCAAAAGTCATTGTGGGGCAACGCTGGCAAATCAAGGTTAACAGACCTTGACTTTTGCTGATTGAGTTGCCTTCTATCTGGAGTCTTTGGAAACCCCCTAGTGGCGGGCTCTCGATGCTTTACAATGAAGCAAAGCCCCTGGGTCTAGAGGTCTCCTGGGACAAGACCAAGGTCCAGGAATTTGGGGACTTGATAGGAGACCTGTTCATCGATACGGTGCTTGCGGCGAGGACATTGAGTAGAAGAGTTTAAATTACTAGTGTAGTTCATAATCTGGGCTGTCTAGTTCAGAATTCAGCGGATTGGCCTGGAGCAGGGGTCATGAACTCTCTCAACAAGAGTATTTTGGGATGTCGGTACCTGTGCAGAAGGACCAAGCTTCGGGTTTTCAAGGGCTGATAAGCCAGTTTTGCTTTACGGTAGCGAACTGGACATTGTCCTGTGCTTGGAGGCTCTTCTTGAAGCCTTTTGCATAGGTCCTTGCGCGCCAGATCATGGGGACTGTTGGCGGGACCATGTGTCCAACAACGGTTGCACCGTGAGACTGGCACAAGCCCTGTTATCTGCACATCCGTGATCGCCAACTCAGGCTATAGGCCACCTGGCTCGCTTTCCTCAGGATGATCCTGCCATCAGGTCGTCTTCTATTCGAGAACAACCCTGGGTGGAGGAGGCTTTGGGACGACCGAGGAAGTCATGGCTTGGGGATCGACCAAACTGCCGTGAAGAACTAGAGATGGGCGAGGTCCCTGCCTGGCGTCTACCATGAGGGCTCTCGTAGGTGGAAGCGAAGGGGGGATGCGGTATGGGCCGCGCCCCGTCGGCGTCCAGCCCCATGTTTGTTGATGATGATTGATGATAGTCATACATACATATAATACAGTTATAATATATATATATATATATATATATATATATAATAGCATACAATACATACATATATTAATGTGTATATCTATTATTGTGGCTATATACGTAACACACAGTTATGTTATATACAGTCAGCACAGCATGTATCACACAAACATTAGGTACATTTCACCCATCACATATGTATATATCTACATAAAATGGGTATTATATAGTATATATACCATAATATACATATAATATGTATATATCATGTTAATATATATATTATCTTTAGGATATTAGGCTATTATTATTATCTATATATCTATCTATTATCTTATATATCTATTATATATCTATCTATTATCTATTTATTATATCTATATTATATATATATATTATATTTATATATATATCGTATATATACATATATAGTATGTGTTATATATAATATATATGTATGATAATATTATATATTATATTATATATAATATCTATTGTTATTAGTGTATATGTATAGCAATATATGTGTGTGTGTGTGTGGTGTGTGTGTCAGTGTGCTGTGTGTGTGTTCTGTGTATTTGATAATGATGTGTTAGAATACACTATTATAATATCTATATCTTGTATTGCCCCTACCATCTCTCTCTCTACTCATATATATTATATATATAATATATATATTATATATAATATATATTATATATATATATATATTATTATATATATAATATATATATATATATATATATATATATATATATACATATATACATTACATATGTATATGTATATACATATATATATATATATATATAATATATATATATATATATATATATATATATATATATATATATATATATGTGTGTGTGTGTGTGTGTGTGTGTGTGTGTGTGTGTGTGTGTGTGTGTGTGTGTGTGTGTGTGTGTGTGTGTGTGTGTGTGTGTGTGTGTGTGTGTGTGTGTGTGTGTGTGCGTGTGTGTGTGTGTGTGTGTGTGTGTGTGTGTGTTGTGTGTGTGTGTGTGTGTGTGTGTGTGTGTGTGTGTGTGTGTGTGTGTGTGTGTGTGTGTGTGTGTGTGTGTGTGTGTGTGTGTGTTTGTGTG